CGTGTATTAGTTTAATAGAAAGAGATACGAGGCATCAAAGTGAGTAGATCTATTATCTTTATTCCTCACTTTTGATATAAAAATCATGCTTAGAATAATATTTTAATTCCCAGTATCATGTTAGGATGCTTTTATGATTTCTAGTATCATGTTAGGGTGCTTAATTAATATTTCTAATGTTATCATGCTTGCTAGTATCATGTTAGGGTGTTACTTTAATATTTCTAATGTTATGGTTTCTAGTATCATGTTTAGGCTAAAGCTTTGATCTTTATTTATTAGTGACATTCTAGGGTTTGTTATTAATCCATTTAGTATCATGCCTAGGATCTTGCTAATGATTGTTTTGATTATTATGATGATTATGATGATGATTTGTTGTGTCAAATAATTATTACATTGCTTGATTATTCATGATTTCTTGCTATTGCTTGATCACGCCTTCTCTTGCAGGTTTAAAGGGAATTTGTACATGAAATCACGCTTAATAAGATAATTAATAATTTGATTTAGGCTTAACATGATTTTAATTCAAGTGATCGCCAATAATAGGTTTATTTGTGCATAAATAATCAACCAACATAGGTCAAATAGGTTTAGGGCTAACTTGTTGTATGTATGTTGATCAGAAAGCGCACATAAATATCATAAAGATTAAGTAGAGGCCTATATAGGGCAGGTTCAATATCTTTGAGGTTGGATTCGTACCATCATCCCCGAATACCCAGTCATGGTTCCGGACCACTATGGAGTTAGCAATCTCCGTGAACGTGAATAGGGTGTAACCTTCACACCCGTGAATGGTTTACAAGTTCCTAAAATTTGTTGGCGACTTTTTATCTCTAGCTTATTTCCCTTTTGACGCCACCATGCCTAAATGCATGATCACAATGGGGCTCAAAGTTGATGTTTGAAATATTCCATACAGGTTTTTGGCGACTCCACTGGGGAAGATTTCTAATTTTGATTCCTAAAATTTATTTTAGCAATTGACTTTTAATTGAGTGGATGAGACTTGAAAAATTCTAGATATTCATTGTGCGTAATTTTGATTAACATTGTGGCATAAGAATAAAAAGCTGCGTGTTGGAAAGACCATCCAAAATACGTAAAAAAAACATAGGATTTTTACACGTAGGAAAATTGGGAAATATCTTTCACAACTAGAATCGAAAAAAATTAATACGAAAATCAGAAAATCCAAAGAACACATAAAACTGCCTCGAAGCGTAGGATCTGTCGCGAGACGATAGGATCCATCGCCATGCGATGGCTATATCGCGATGCGATAATGCTATCGCTACGCGATGGCTCCTGTTTTCTCGCGCTGAGTTCTTCCGACATCGCGCCAGTAATCTGCCTTCTTGTTTTGACCAATTCTAGTACTGTATTGCCGATTCTACTTCCTGATTGAGTTTTTCCTCCTTTTCTAAACCCATATGTGTTCTACATATGGTTTTAGCCCCTGGGAATTCACGCTCCATCTACCCAATCGAACGCTCCGTGCAACGACGGGTACATCCGAGTTTGTGAATTCACAAAACCGTGGAAGCAAGTCTAACTTCCGGGGCCCCATCCATATGCGCCAACCCCTCCAAAAGTAAAGCTTCCACGCGATGCATCCGGACTCATAACCATGGACCCTCTTTGAGTACCATGATTCTTGAACTTTAGAGAACTAGAGCCATGGTTAGGTTGTAAAATCATTGCATCATATTGTCATTATTTGACTAGTTGTGCATTCCTTACTTGTGCGTACTTATTTGTGATTAAACTAACCGTTTATGTTGACTTGTATTTGTAATCAAATCTTAACAACTAATTAATGACCAAAAAGGACTTTGCTCAATTTATTAATTAACTAAGTTGAATTGGATCAGTAAAGTCTAAACATACTTGACGTAGTAAGACTATAGGCTTCCCTTTTGAAAGAATTACCAAAAACAAGTTAAACTGACATTCTAGTTCTGGCACGAAAGTTTGAATTGTAACGCAGAACGTTAGTTCTATCGCGACGCGATATGTATATCGTGCTCTGATAGAGCCAACGCGATGTGATTGTCCCATCGTTTCGCGATGGTTCGGTTTTCCTTTCTGAGTCTCCACGCCGAGTCTAAATTTTCTTGATTAATTAATTTAAATAACCGAGGTCTTAGTTTGGTTTTTGATTGAGTCCAATTACATAGTCCCATGGTCATTACACGAGTCTTGAACATGTCACTTCCACTCACTAGTCAATGCACCCAATTTGTATATGTCACGACCATGTCTAGAGTCTTGTGTGCGCTTTTCCGTCAGTTTTTTAGGGAGGTAAGTCGGATATCATCCTCTCAACATAAACCATGTTGCTTAAAATTTGATAAAATTCCCAAAATATGTACCCATTTTTTTGATTTTTCAACCTCAATAAAAATAAAAGTTAATTCGAGTCAAGTCATTAAAAGAGTCAATGGTTTAACTTTACAGCACTTGGTCAAGGAGAGAATGGCGTTTGATCAAAGATAACACCTTCGTTCAAGTACTACTCTTTGATAGACTGATTTGACACATGACAAATTTCAGAACAATGGCCAGTCAAGAAGAAGTTGACCAACTTAAGCTGACTGTCAATGGACTCACCGAAATGCTTAAAGGGCTCACCACTCAGGTTAACGACCCTAGCAAGCAAGTACCAGTCGAGATCATCAACCGCATAGAAGAAAGCTTGAGTCAAATGTCTAATGACTACAAGTACCATGGGATTAGCTCCAAAAGGGTCTCAGTGGATAAGGAATTTCTTCCGCAAAAGTTATCTGCAAATGACATCCCTAAGTTCAAGCTAACCGACAATCCTTACTTTCACTTAAGTGCTTTTGAAACAATCATGGACATCAAGGGAATTGATAGGAGAGTTTTCCCTTCACTTTTCCTGCTTTCTCTTAAAACAGTATGCCTGCAATGGTTCTTCTCTATAGATAAAGAGAAGATCGCTACTTGGTGATACGTGTCGTTTACCGTATAAAATTAAATATTTATTTACCTAACTTAAACTTCAAAAATATTAACAAATAGTAAAAGGGTAAGCAAGGGTCGATCCCACGAGGAGATTAATCAACTCTTAAAACTTAAAGTATAACTCAAAAAATAAACCATACACATAATAGAGTACTATTCACACTATGTACATGAGATTGGGGGGGTTTTAAATCGTGATCTAATAACTAAACTACCAAGATCAGACTAAATATAAATCTACTATTTACAATAGACGACAAGAAAACCACCATTGGTATATTAATTTGATCATAGGATAAAACAATATAAATTAGCTCCAAACTTCAATCCTTTTAATTTCCTCCAATACTCAGTTTTAGTATTTAGGTAGACAAATTACCGCTGTGATCTATTTGACATTTATTGCTCACTAAAATTAGAATCTTGCTAATATACTTTCTACCCCAATAAACTGGTTTATTAGACTAATTCACAAACTCAACAATACTAAACTTGAGCCGCTCAAACTAGTATCACTAAGTTATTTCCGCTAAATTATCAATTAACGCCGCGTCAAGTAATAAAAGTATAGTTTAATTACTCCATACAAGAAATTGTGCACTACCACAAGTATAGATTAATTAAACATACATGCAAGAACAAATAATCATGTGAATTAATTAAACACACAAAACAGAGGATCGATACTCATTTAACACAGCGTATAAACGGTGAAACAAAAAAAATCATAAATTTGAAGACAAATAAAATCGTACTCAGTTTAAGCAACAAGATTAATCACAAAATTGAAAGAATTTAAGAGTGAGTGAAGGGAACTCATAAATAAGCCACGATCAAACGGCCCCCGCTAGATTATTGCCGTCAAGTTTTCCCTTCACCTTCCGGTATCGCTCAGTCTATCAACTTTGGGTCAAACGTACTCCACCAAGCCTCACATTCCCGATGAAAGCTCCTTAGTAAAACTTGTGTGTGTTTGAAGAGCTAATTGGAGCTTTTTTTATAACCCCAAAAAAATAACCTACGGGTATGAAAAGATAGAATCTTGAATTAGGATAGATCTTCATCTTCTTGTTTCTGCTTGAATTTCGGAAAGGTTGTTGAAGATAAACATGGAGTTACTTTGGAGGCCTCGGTTATCACGGAAGCAACATAGATTTCTATCTTTTCACCTTTCCTTTTCCTGATTTGTTTGATGTTGCTTAGTTGCTTCTGTACCCCTTTCATGTGATCTTTCTTTCTTTTTTATTTTATTTTATTTTTTTCTTTTGTTTACTTGTTGCTTTCTTTAATTGCCCTTTTGTTTGTTGTCTTCTTTTGCTTCTCCACAAAAATCTTAATAAACAAAATAAACATATTAAGTAATATTTATACCAACTTAATAATAAAATTAAAAGAAGATAAATATATGACTAAAATAATAAAAGTTAGTTAAACATCTAAAATAATAAAAGTTAGTTAAACATCTAAAATAATAAAAATATGGTATATTATGCACTTATCAAAATCCCCCACACTTAGTCTTTGGTCGCCCTCGAACAAACTAAATAAAACTAACCTATAAAAGCAGTAAACCTAACTTACTGTCGTAGGAATCACGGTTACACTTAGCACGTGGTACAAGTCCTTTAAATCCCTAAGTTCCCCCTAGAGGACGAGTACGATCTCATGAGAGTTTGCAGAAGACACACCGACAAAGTCTATTATTCAGAAATTTTCAACTAAATAGCAGTAAACAATCTGAAAACTCATTTTTATAAAAGTTTCTCCAATATAGCTTAACAACTTGGTTGATTGACTTTTATCATTTCTCACATCTTTAAACCAATTTTCATGTCTCAAATCATTAGGACTTTTCAAGGATATCATGAGGGTTTAGGTAAATGAAGGATATGACAATAATTATGGGATTGTAGTGGTAATATTCTATAAATTAGTAGAGCATAGTATGATTACAACCAAATAATATCAAATATTCCTCATAACAAATATTTCTTGAGTGCACACTAAATTTTTTGATTTTTAGTTTCATGACTCTTAATTTTCAATCTCTGTTGAATAGTCCATGTAGCGAGTGTTCAACCAGTGACTCCCGATCTAGTTGGTCCAAGGCACTAGGCTTTAAGATTCCCCTAAGGATCTACTTACTCGAACTACTCAAGCAAGAGATAGAAACATCACACGTACATAACTTGGTTCGAATTTTATTTATTTATTTATTTATTTTTTTAATACCAATATGTGAATTAATTAACACATATACCCAGTCATTGGTCCGCAGAGCCTTATATTGAAACTTTCACTTTATAGTACTATATCACCATTGAATATCAACCATTTGTACATCACACTTTAATATGCTCTACTAATTTCAGAAGGTTAATCATTTGACTTGTAAGTAGAGGTACATTTGTGATTTATTCATGGAAAATAACAGGGATAGGCTTTTTGGTTGATGTGGCGTATAAACTATTTTAATTGCCTAAATCATTTTCAAAACATGGATTAGTTGCAATTTGAGGAAGAAACGACACAAGCCCAGAGTGTAAGTTATGAAGAAGATTGGAGAAAACAAAAATTTTTTTTTTGTGTACTTTACTTCTATTAGTTCAAAATTTCCAATACCTAAATAAAAAATCGGCAGCATCTCCCCTAAAAATGGGCATAATCAAACAAGATTTTGTTGCTATTTTCAAACTTGTAACCCAGCCTAACATCCCAACATCCAAAGTATAGAAAAAAATAGTTGTCCCCCCCACTTAAACTTTTCAATCGTCCTCGATAAAAGAAAAAAGAAGAAGAAGAAGAAGAAGAAGAAGAAGAAGAAGAAGAATTAATAAATAAATAGGAGAGGAGGAGAAACTTAGCTGGTTTCTTGAGACGTTCTGTTATTTGAACATGTGAGATGCTTTCTGTCTCATTGTTGCATTGGTTAGGTCTACATTTAGTTATTGTGCTTCTACGCCGCTTCATCATCTTGGATCTTCATATTATAAATTATTGGTGAAGCTGTAGGAATTTTTTTACAATCACAGTCAGTAGCAACGTGTTCCTTCTCTGGGTCTTGAGTCTTGAAAACAGAAGAATTTTGTGTGTTGCCAGAAAGGGTAGAGGTAATATGCCTAGTGAATGAATATAACAACCTGTGATCAACATAAAAAAAAAACTAAGCCTCAAATAAAGAAAATTGTCATTATACTATGAAAAACAGAATAAATAAATAAAAATAAATAAATGAAACCAGTAAAGTAAAAAACAAAATTTATCCATGGGTTGCCTCCCAAGTAGCTCTTCTGTTTAGAGTCGTTAGCTCGACCTACTTCAGTCATCATTCCATTTGAAGCTTGATTTTTTCAATCATCCCTGCAGATTCATACTCATAGAATGGTTTTAACCTATGACCATTTACTTTGAAATCTTTATTAGTTTCCACACTTTTTATTTCAACTACACCATCTGAAAAAATGTTAGTATTAACAAAAGGTCCCAGCCATCTAGACCGAAGCTTTCCAGGAAATAGCTTAAGACGAGCTATACATAGAAGAACTTTCTGTCCCACAGAGAAATTAGTCTTAACAATTCTTTTTTCATGAAAAACCTTAGTTTTGTCCTTATAAATCTGAGCATTTTCATAAGCCTTTATTCTGATTTCCTCTAACTCTTGTAGACTAAGTTTTCTTTGCTGCCCTGCAAGTTCATAATCCATATTACACTGTTTCACAACCCAATAAGTCTTATGTTCTAGCTCTACTAGTAAGTGACATCCTTCACCAAAGACAAGGCGATATGGCGACATTCCTATAGGTGTTTTGTAAGCTGTCCTATAAGCCCATAATGCATCATCTAACCTAAGGCTCGAATCTTTCCTATTAGGATTCACCATTTTTTCTAGGATGGATTTGATTTCCCTATTGGAAACTTCAGCTAGCCCATTAGTTTGGGGATGGTAGGCAATGGCTACTCTATGTGTTACATGCACTACAAGAAAAGAGCTTGATTCCGACGGAAACATCGGAAATTCCGTCGGAAAACGGCCTTCCGACGGAATTCCGTCGGAATAAGTCTGTCGCAAAACCTTTTGTAGGAAATTTGACCTTTTTCGATGGAATTTCCGTTAGAAGGCTAGTTTCTGACGGATTTATTTCTGTCGGCGCTTTTTTGACTTTAATTGAAATTCCGTCGCAATTTTCTAACGGAAATTTCCATCGGAAAAAATAAAATAAAAATAAAAAAAGAGCCCCACCCAGCCCCACCCTCCAGCACCAGCACCAGCACCACCTTAAGTCCTTAACCAGCCCACACCACCCACTAGATCTAGAGTTTTCATGGTCAAATATAACTTGAAAACCTTTGTTTTTGGCAAATTTGTTGTTGTTAGTGTCGGTATTAGTGGTTTTGGGTGAGAAGGAGGACGAGGAGGGAGAAGGAGTTGTTTTTGGTGGTGTAGGTGTTGGTGGTTTTGGGTGAGAAGGAGAACGAGAGGACGAGGAGGGAGAAGGAGGATTTGTTGTTGGTGTCCGTTATGGTAGTTGTTTGGGTGAGAAGGAGAGGACAGAGAAGAGACAGAGGAGGGAGAAGGAGGACAGAGAAGAGACAAGGGAGGGAGAAGGAGAACAGAGAAGAGACAGGGGAGGGAGAAGGAGGATGAGAGACGAGGAGGGAGAAGAGGAAAGAGAAGAGAGGAGGACAGAGAAAATAGAAGAGAGGACGAAGAGGAAGGAGAAGAGAATAGGAGAGGAGAGAGAAAGAGACGGAGAAAAGGGAAAGAAAGAGGCGGTGTGTGATTTAGGGTTTCCTGTTTTTTTTTTTTGAATTAGATTCCGACGGAATATTCCGTCTGAAATTTTCGACGGAAAAAATATTCCGTCGGAAATACCATATATTCCGACGGATTTTTTTTTCGTCGGAAATTTCCGACGAATTTTTAACTTCCGTCGAAAAAAAAAATTCGTCGGAATTTTTGATTTTTCCAACGGAAATACGTGTCCGTCGGAAATCAGCCTATTTCTTGTAGTGTTGATACTTTTCAAGAAGAGTGCCAAATGTTTGGTTACAAAAATGGGTTCCCCTATCGCTTATTATGGCGTTTGGCAAACCAAACCTATTGAAAATATGACTTTTGACAAATTTTACAACAGCTTTTGCATCATCAGTTACGATGGCTTTAGCTTCCACCCATTTAGAAACGTAGTCTACAACTAGCAGAATGTAAAGATTACCTAAAGAGGAAGGAAAAGGCCCCATAAAATCGATTCCCCATACATCAAATATTTCACAAAATATGATTCCATGTTGAGGCATTTCATTTCTTTTAGAAATATTACTTGATTTCTTACATTGCTAGCACGATACACAAAACAGGTAAGCATCTTTGAATACTGTAGGCCAATATAAACCACATTGCAATACTTTAAAGGCAGTTCATTGAGGTCCAAAGTGGCCACCAGCTTCCAGAGAATGACAAAAATTCAACACCGAAGAAAATTCAGAGTCCTCTATACATCTCCTTATCATTTGATCAGAACAAAACTTCCACAAATATGGATCATCTCAAAGATAATATTTAGAATCAGATTTGATTTTATCCTTTTTAGCCTTAGTTAGAAAAGGGGGAAACGTCCTAGTTACTAAGTAATTAACCATATCGGCATACCAAGGAGTTTCAAAATGATATAAAGAAAGCAATTGTTCATCGGGGAAAAATCATTATCATAGGCCAATCTTCTCTAGGGACAATCCTACTTAAATGGTCAGCAACTTGATTTTCAACACCTTTTTTATTCCTAATTTCTACATCAAACTCTTGTAACTGAAGCATCCACCTAAGCAACTTAGGTGCTGAGTGACTCTTCTTTATCAAGTATTTAAGAGCTGCATGATCAGAATAAACAATCACACGAGTACCAAGCAAATAAGATCTAAACTTTTCCAAACCAAATATCACAGCATACATTTCTTTTTCAGTCACAGTGTAATTGCATTGGGCCAGATCAAGTGATTTAGAAGCATAATGTATCACATAAAACTCTTTACCCTTCTTTTAACCTAACACAGCTCCTATAGTTTTATCACTAGCATTGCACATTATTTCAAAAGGTAATGACCAATCATGAGGTATAATTAAAGGAGCACTTGTCATCTTGGCTTTTAAATCATCAAAAGCTTTTTTACATTCATCATTGAAGTCAAAAGCAGCATCTTTAGCAAGCAAAGTACATAAAGGTGAAGCAATTTTTGAAAAATTCTTTATAAAGCGCATATAAAAACCAGCATGTCCTAAAAATGATCTAACTTCACGAACACATTTAGGATAAGGCAAAGAACTTATTACCTTTATTTTAGCTTTATCTACCACTAAACCTTTAGCGCTTACAATATGACCAAGAACCACACCTTGTTCTACCATGAAATGACACTTTTCAAAATTCAAAACAAGTTTAGTTTCAACACATCTCTTCAGAACACGAGTTAAAGCATGAATACATCTATAAAATGAATCACCAAAAAAAGTAAAGTCATCCATAAACACTTCCATATCTTGTTCAATCAATTCAGAAATATGCTCATCATACATCTCTGAAAAGTTCCTAAAGCATTACATAAACCAAAAGGCATTCTTCTAAAAGAAAATGTACCAAAAAGACATATAAAAGTGGTTTTATCTTGATCTTCAGGGGCAATGGGTACTTGTATGTAACCTGAATAACCACCTAGAAAACAGAAGAAAGATTGTCCAGCAAGTTATTCTAACATCTGATCAATAAATGGAAGAGGGAAATGGTCTTTTCTGGTAGCTTGATTAAGCTTCCTATAGTCAATACAAACTCTCCATCCATTAGAAACTCTAGTGGGGAAAAATTCTCCCTTATTATTTTCGACAACTATTATTCACTCTTTTTAGGTACCCACATGTATAGGACTTACCCATTGAGAATCAGAAATAGGATATATCACTCCTGCATCTAAGCTATTTATAATTTCCTTTTTAACTACTTCCATCATTGAAGGATTTAATCTCCATTGAGCCTCTCTAGTTGGTTTAGCATTTTTTTCAAGAAAAATTTTATGCATGCACATGGCGGGACTAATGCCTTTTATGTCAGCTAAAGTCCATCCTAAAGCTTCCTTGTGATTTTTAAGCAAATTCAAGTACCTGGTCTCTTGAGATTCATTTAAAGAACTTGAAATAATCATAGGTAGAGTCTCATTATCACCCAAATAAGCATACTTCAAATTAGAGGCAAGGGGTTTCAATTCTAATTCAGGTGGCTTTACAATATAAGGAATTAATTTAGGCACAACAAAAGGTAAAGACTTTTTTCATCCATTAGAAGCATCAGGTTCAATTACATCAGACGAAACTACAAAAGAATCAACCATTTTTGTTTTCTTAAAATCGTCAAAAACACCATTTTCAAACAAATTTTCACACCACTCATCAAAAACATCCTGAGCCATCCAATCGCATGCATCAAATGAATCTATAGAACTAACATTACTGATATCATTAGGGTATTTCATAGCATCAAATATGTTGAATTTAATCATTTCTCCATCAAATTCCATTGTCAAATACCTTCATAAACATCAATTTTATTTTTGGAAGTCTTTAGAAAAGGTCTACCTAACAATAAAGGAACACTATCAGATCTATCACCCATATCAAGCACATAAAAATCAGCAGGAAAAACTAGTTCATTCACTTGAACAAGTACATCTTTCAAAACTCCCATAGGAAATGCATTAGATCTATCAGCTAATTGGATAACAACATTAGTTTTAGACAAAGGACCCACATTCAAAGTGTCATAAACAGATTTAGGCATGACATTAATTGAGGCACCTAAGTCTACAATGCATCTTTCAAATTTCGAGTTACTAATTTTACATGGGATAGAAAACATGCCAAGGTCTTTTTATTTTGGGGGATGTTTCTTTTGAATCACAGCAGATATGTTCTCACCCATTCTTACCTATTCACAAGGCTTGAAGTTCCTTTTGTTAGTACATAGCTCTTTTAGAAACTTAGTCTACCAAGGTATCTGTTTAATAGCATCAAGAAGAGGGATATTCACTTCAACTTTCCTAAATGTTTCAAGTATTTCATTGTCAAGGGCTTCTTTCTTAGCTTTAGAAAATCGAGAGGGGAAAGGGGGTACGTCAAAGTTCACATCAGAATTACCCTTCCCTATAGTTTCTTTCTCACTCCCTTTATCATGTTTTTCCTTACTTTCACAAACTACATGCTTAGGTCTGACTTCTACCTCTTTCTCTATTTCTCTATTCTTTATTTTAGGTTCCTTTAACTCCTTACCGCTCCTAAGTGTTACAGCTTTAGCATGTTCATTTAGATTGGCAAGTGTTTGAGAGGGGAGCCTATTCCAAAGTTGACATTCCAAATTACTAAGAGAAGTGCTAATTTGACCTATTTGAGCATCTATATGATGTAGGTGAGCGTCAGTTTTCTTTTGATATCGGACACCTTGACTATGAACTTGTCCAATTTGGGTAGTCAATTGTTTCACTATATCCTCTAATTATGAACCAGGTTGTTGTTGTGAATTATGTTGAACAAATGGCCTAGTTTGATTAGATTGAGAAAATGGTGGTCTAGGTCCATACCTAAGGTTAGGATGATCACGCCAACCTTCATTATAAGTATTAGAAAAAGGGTCATATTTCCTCTGTGATTGACCAGGTAAATTATTTAAAGCATTGACATCTTCACTCTGTAATGAAGGACATTCATCAGTAGCATGAGAAAAATTAGAACAAACACCACATATTATAGTTGTAGACTCATTACCAGGAACAATTTTAGACACTAAGGTGGTCAGAGTAGCAATTTGTTGAGCATTTTCTTGTAATTGACTTTTAATTCCACTTAAGTCCACATCATTAACTCTTTTAACATAATTTCTAGTGCCAAATTGTTGAATATTTTGAGCCATATTAGAAATTAAATTCCTAGCTTTGGTTGGTGTTTTATCTACTAATGCCCCCCCCCCCCACTAGATGCATCTATCATACCGCTCTCATTAGGTAATAACCCCTCGTAAAAATATTGAATTAGCGGTTGCTCACTTATTTGGTGTTGTGGACAAGATGAACAAAGCCTGTTAAAACATTGCCAATACTCATATAAAGATTCGTTATTATTTTTCCTAATTCCACAAATTTCTTTTCTAATAGAACCAATACGACTCGCTTGAAAGAATCTTTCAAGAAAAACTTTTTCCATTTCTGCCCAAGAATTAATAGAACTAGGTGAAAGTTGCTCATATAGCCACTCTTTAGCACGATCTTGCAAAGATAATGGAAAAGCATGCAATCTAATATGTTCTTGTTCTACGCCTTCAGGATTCATGGAAGAGCATACAACCTAAAATTCTTTTAAGTGTCTATAAGGATTCTCACCTGCGTTCCCATATAATTTAGGGAGAAGATTAAGGAAACTTGAATTCAGCTTTAGAGGATTCTCTAGCTCTGGAAAGATAATGCAAAGAGGGTCTTCTCTTATTCTCGGGGCTCCCAGTTCCTTCAATGTTCATTCTGCCATGCTCTTATATTCAATCGGTAATGGATCTTCTATTTCAAGTGCTGGTTCAACACTGAAAATGTGAAGCAGCTTCTGTGGTTCAGCCTTGTTTAGGAAGCCTACGTGTGCTTTAATGCGCTGAAGTCTTGCTTCTAGATCGTACGTGTTCATACATCTATAAAGAAAAACAGAAATTATGAGAAAGACTTGAAATATTACAGCAGAAGTTTTAAACAATCCAATACTAGACAGAAATTTTAGTAGCCAAGACAAGATGATTTAGATGCACCTATCTTCTACCAATAAATAAACTGCATTTTCATTAGCATTTAAACCTCATATAAAGAAACTAGCAATCTGGCAGAAAGTTAGTAGTATATCTAAACTCTGTTAACTTGGATCTTTATAGCAAAAATTGATTTCATATTCAAATTGAGCTAGTGCCAAGGCAAGAATTAACTTATAATGCAAACATACACCATATATCTCATTACCCTATAAGTTTTGTCGAGTTATAAGCTGCTGGATTCAAAAAATAATTATTCAGAGAGGGCAGTTTAGTTCGGTAGTCATGGACTTATGGCGTTGATTATACTCACTTTAATAGCAATTAAACATGAGGTAATGAATTGCCAGCCCTAAGTGTGCAGCTGAAAACTTTTCTACTCAAATCACACAACATGTAAAGATAGAATATGTTCAAATTGGCATCTAACATATTCAGCAAAATGGCTCTCCTAATTTTAGGATTAGGTTTACCAAAACTAATGTACCTTTCAAATTTTATCATCTCATAGGACTTTTCTGTAGATTAATAACTCAAGGTTCAAGTGCAAGAAACCAAAATTAAATAATATCTTTTATTCCAGTTTATACACTTTCAGATGTTTCTAGAAACTCCCAGGACATATTATACATGCATGATACATCATCTAGACCGATCCACACATGCTAAAACATAGGTTTAAGAATAATTCTTGCAATATTATAATCTAATCAAACACTATACATCAAGAATAAGGGCAAGATCATAAAATGCTCATTCAAAAATTACTAGACATGAACTATATGGTGATATTTTTCATTGGTGGATCTAGATTACCTCAAATATACAAGTATATATCATGCAAAAAAACTAATAAGCAAACACGACATATTCTTATCTTTGTACCCACTATTAAATGAGTTATTAAAAATTAGCCAGTAAACATGTAATAATCACTATGACTCATTAGCATATCATTTATATTTCCATTAGTTCATAAGCTAAATTCACGAGATATAATCAATCATCATACAAGAAAACAACAATAGATGACAACCGCAATGATCAACCATAATCATTATACTAGCAAAAAAATTTGCATACTACTGGGTAAGCCACTAACACACATACCTCATGTTCATATATAGTAATTAGAAAAGCTAAAATATTGGCATGAGTGAACTGAAACATGAATGAACTATGACATAGTCGAAATAGACATTTTACAGTAATAATATTATAAGTCATTGTCAGCGATATGTGCATATTCATTAATAACAATAGAAAATTAATTAAACTTTTTATTAAGAACTAAAATTAATCTCCTTGGCAACGACGCCAAAATTTGATACGTGTCGTTTACCGTATAAAATTAAATATTTATTTACCTAACTTAACCTTCAATATTAACAACTAGTAAAAGGGTAAGCAAGGGTCGATCCCACGAGGTGATTAATCAACTCTTAAAACTTAAAGTCTAACTCGAAAAATAAACCATATACATAATAGAGTATTATTCATACTATGTACATGAGATTGGGGGGGTTTTAAATCGTGATCTAATAACTAAACTACCAAGACTAAATATAAATCTACTATTTACAATATATGACAAGAAAACCACTATTGGTATATTAATTTGATCATAGGATAAAACGATATAAATTAGCTACAAACTTCACTCCTTTTAATTTCCTTTAATACTCAGTTTTAGTATTTAGGTAGACAAATTACCGCCGCGGTCTATTTAACATATATTGCTCACTAAAATTAGAATCTTGCTAATATACTTTCTACCCCAATAAACTGGTTTATTAGACTAATTCACAAACTCAACAATACTAAACTTGAGCCGCTCTAACTAGTATCACTAAGTTATTTCCGCTAAATTATCAATTAACGCCGCGTCAAGTAATAATCTAGTATATTCTAATTACTCCATACAAGCAATCGTGCACTACCACAAGTATAGTTTAATTAAACATACATGCAAGAACAAATAATCATGTGAATTAATTAAACACACAAACCAAAGCATTGATACTCGTTTAACATAGCGTATAAACAGTGAAACAGAAAAATCATAAATTTGAAGACAAATTAAATCGTACTCAGTTTAAGCAACAAGATTAATCACAAAATTGAAAGAATTTAAGAGTGGGTGAAGGGAACTCATAACTAAGCCACTATCAAACGGCCCCCGCTAGATTGTTGCCGTCAAGTTTTCCCTTCACCTTCCGTTATCGCCCAGTCTATCAACTTTGGATCAACCGTACTCCACCAAGCCTCACGAATTCCCGATGAAAGATCCATAGTAAAACTTGTGTGTGTTTAAAGAGCTAATTAGGGCTTTCCGGGTATGAAAAGATAGAATCTTGAATTAGGATAGATTTTCATCTTCTTGATTCTGCTTGAATTTCGGAAAGGTTGTTGAAGATAAACATGGAGTTACTTTGGAGGCCTCGGTTATCACGGAAGCAACATAGATTTCTATCTTTTCAGCTTTCCTTTTCCTGACTTGTTTGATGTTGCTTACTTGCTTCTGTACCCCTTTCACATGATCTTTCTTTCTTTCTTTTTATTTTATTTTATTTTTTTCTTTTGTTTACTTGTTGCTTCTTTAATTTCCCTTTTGTTTGTTGTCTTCTTTTGCTTCTCCACACAAATCCTAATTAACAAAATAAACATATTAAGTAATATTTAACCAACTTAATAATAAAATTAATAGAAGATAAATATATGACTAAAATAATAAAAGTTAGTTAAACATCTAAAATAATAACTAAAAGACAATTATAAGACTAATATTAGGGCTAAAAATATGGTATATTATGCACTTATCCATTGGGTATCTATTACACATGCTTTTATTGATAGATACAAATGTAATATCCAAGTAGAAACTGATCATAGGGAACTTGAAATACTTAAAATATAGAAAATGAAGGATTTATTGCTTTCTATAATAAGTGGAGGGAAACTTCCGCTAAAAGGATTGAAGTTCTAAGCGAGTAAAAATCTGTAAGGATTTTCATTAAGAACCTCCAAGACAAGTATCATAAGAATTTGAAATATCAATGCAATTTAAACACTTTCAAAGCTGTATATAACATAGGCATAGAAATTGAAGATGATATTGCAAAACAGAAAGATGCTAACAATAGCAACAACAATGGCTGGAAAGGAAAGAAGAACGACAACCCTTCTTCTTCCAAAGCCACCCATTTTAGTAACAATGTTAGCACCTTTAACTTAAATGACGTCCTCGACCATGAATAATCAAGGACAAAAGAAGCAGTTTAGGAGAGACTTCATTCCTATTGAGATGAGCTATGATACTGCTTTTGACTGTCTTCATGCCAAAGGACTCATTACTCCTATTGGACCTATACAAGATCCACCAGTTGAAAGAAGAACAGCTGGAATCCGAATGCATAGTGCAAGTATCACCAAGGTAGCGGCCACTGTATTTAGAGTTGCTGGTAATTAAAAGAAGTTATCCAAGACCTAATTGATAACAACAAACTCCCAGTGCTTCCTGCTAGCGAGAAGCCAAGCATTAATAATTCTCCACTTTCAGATTCCTTAGCAATTTCTTACGAACAAGATCATATGAATCCATCACTCCTTATTAAGCCAATAGAAGAGGTTCATGCCATCGAAAAGGAAGAGGAGACTTTCTTTGATGCCATAAGAGACTTTCAAGAAGAAGCTAAGCCCTTAACTATTGGTGAACAGGTTGCCACTAGAGGAGAAGTGTGTGCCCTTATCAACACATTAGAAGAGATAAGGCTTGAACTTCAAACTATTCGCAGGAAAGCAGAAAAAGCTGAAAATAAGCGTGCTCTTGAAAAAGAGAACCATGCTTCTTCTTCAAACACCGTCGAGAGAAAACCATTCACTTTCAACGTAGTTACAATGAAAAGGCATAACAAAGTTTGTATACCTATTGGTGTCCCTTATGAGAAGATGTTCAACATGCTCTTCGAAATGGGAAAAATCAAACCTCTCGAGCCAAGACCATTTGAATCCCTTAAAAGAATAGACAGATTTTACTACAAATACCATCAATCTAGAGGGCACACAATAGAAAATTATTTCAAGTTTAAAGATCTTATTCAGGGATTCATAGTTAGTAGAAAACTTATCCCAACAATAAGGGATATTTTGGATAAAGATATCAATATTAATGGGGTTTAGGACAGTGATGATGAGGACGTCTACCTCAAAGAAATGGAAGAACCACCACTTGCTGCAAATTACCCAATTGATGATATTTGGGACGAGGAAGAAGAATCCCTAATTACTGTGCTTACAAGGTCCGGAAGGGTGCAACCACCAGTCACAAATGACCTTATACCTACCACTCAACAAATTCCAGCACCTCTTATAGAGGACAATGATATTGTCAAGCAGCTCCAGAAGACTAAGGTCGAAACGAATGTTTGGAAGCTTTTAGCTTCATTTCGTGAACACCGAGTCGCAGTAATGGATGCTCTAGCAATAGGGATAGATTCTAAAACTATTCTAGAGGGTTAGCTAACTTCCGTACAAGTGACCTCCCTAGTCCCATCAACTTGATCACCTTTTCTGACAAGGATTTACCCCCGAAAGGCGACAAACAAAATAAAGCCTTGAACCTCACGGTGGTTTGCAAAAGAATGAATGTACCAATGACCCTTGTAGACAATGGTTTAGCAATCAACATATGCCCACTTCGAACCGCAAGGATGTTGGGAATAAAGGATGAAGATTTGTCTCCATCCACACAAGGAATAAGGGCCTATGACAATACTCGTCGCCAAGCTCTTGGAACATCACCATGAATGTCACCGCATGAGTCATAGAACATACCACTACTTTTCAAGTAGTAGACATCAAGACTTCATTCAACTTATTGTTGGGACGCCCTTGGCTTCATGACCTTAAGGTTATCCCTTCATCTCTCCATCAACAAGTTAAGGCTTTAGTTAGAGGAATTTCTTTCACAATCGACGCTTCCCCAATGAGGATCAAAGCAGTATGCTTCCATAATCTCTCCATCATTAATGTGCAACACGATGAATACGATGAAGATTTATGGGGCTTTATTACCGAATATCTCTCTTTTATCGAGGAAGATAAAAAGACCCCTCTTGACTATATAATCCCCACTCAAATCTTGTGGTCAACGATATACTTAAGAAACAAGGACATTTTCCTGGAATGACGCTAGGAAAGAAGAAAGGAATAGCTAACAAAATGGGACTACTTGGCCTCCCTAAAATGGATACTTTTGGACTTGGTTTCGAACCAACTCTAGAGGACGTTAAGCGAGCCTACAAAAAGTCTAATGCACGAAGGAAAGCTCGTACCCAGATTAATGCAATGCCAATGGAATCATACCCTTTCACATTAAATGGACAGTTCATAAAAAAGGGGGAAAATTATCCATGCTACGAATTACCAGAACCACTTATTAGAAATGAGATACGCCAGCCTGGCTTTGAAATCTTCTTAGATTGCAATTTTCTAGACGAGATCCCAGCTCTTGTTTACAAGGAACGAGCACCTCCATGCTTTGACTTTAATGTCATGGGACTCCTCTTTGGGTATGAGAAGAACGAACCTAAGCGTATTGACGACAACTCCACGCTTATCCAAACAATGCTACAAAGTGAAAACTTTGATCCCTCCAAGCTCATAACTCCACCAGAAAGACTACTCAAGGGATGGCGTAAGACCGTGAAGGTGACTACACCAAATGGAAGGAAGATATCCATAACCACAGGAGAAGGACCCATGTTTGACGAGTCTGAGTCGTCTAAGTCGGAGTCTGAGTCTGAGTCCGAATCTTCTACTGATAAGTCTCCTAAATCTTTAGTATTCGCACCTTCTTCTATCCCACCTAGTTTAGCATCTACTCCTAGAATAGTTAGTAGTCAAGTCCCTATGGACCTTTCCCTTTTTGATGTAATGATTCAAGAATTCAATAATATGTCTTCTTTCTGTTACTGCTCGTGCTTTTCCCTTACCCAAGAGGACGAGTATTGCTTTGCTAACAATGAAAATGACAAAGAAATAATTAAAGCAATGGAAACGCTTGAGAATAAAATATCAATCATTGAAGAAACTGAAATAGTTAACATCTCCAAGGACCCTACCATTAAAAGAGAAGTTAAAATTGGCTTAACTCTAAATCAAGAGGAAAGAACTCAACTAATTAATTTATTTAAAGAATTCATCGATGATTTTTCTTGGTCATATGAAGATATGCCAGGGATAAATAGAGAAATTACTCAACACCACCATTAATTCTAGGAATGAAACCTGTAAAACAAAAGTTGCGTCGAATGAAACTCGACATAGCTCTTAAAATAAAAGAAGAAGTTCAAAAACAAATAACTGCAGATTTTATCAAGGTGTCCAAATACCGAGAATGGGTAGCTAATGTGGTACCAGTTCCCAAGAAGGATGGTAGAGTAAGAATGTGTGTCGACTATAAATATCTTAACAAGGCAAGTCTAAAGGACGACTTACCTTTACCACACATCGACATCTTAGAAGATAATACAACCAATCATGCACTTCTCTCATTTATGGATGGGTACGCAGGCTACAACCAGATTCCATGCTGAAGAAGACATGGAAAAAACAACTTTCATAACACCATGGGGTACTTACTGCTACACGGTAATGCCATCCGGGTTGAAAAACGCGGGTGCCACGTACCAAAGAGCAGTAACTGCCTTACTTCATGACATGATGCACAAAGATTTCGATGTCTATGTAAACGACATGATTGTAAAATCAAAGGATCGCCCCGAACACCAAACAACCTTAAGAAAATTCTTTGAAAGGCTTCGAAAATACAACATGAGGCTGATTCTTGCTAAGGGTGCATTTGGGGTTACCTCAAGAAAGCTCTTAGGCTATGGAATTAGCTCTTGAGGAATAGAGATAGATCCCACTAAAATTAAGGGTCCAATAAAAAAATTCGAGGATTTATTGGCCGGTTGCAGTATATTAGCAGGTTCATATCAAAGCTCACCATGATATGCGAACCAATTTTCAAGAAACTTAAGAAAAATGTACCAATAATATGGAACAATGAATGTCAAGAAGCCTTTTATAAGATCAAAGCCTACCTTGCGAATCCTCCTGAATTAGCACCAACACTAACCAGGAATTCCTCTTCGCCTATACTTAGCAGTTACCAAGGAAATAATGGACGCTATGCTCGCACAAGAAGCAAAAGGAAAGGAAAACTCCATCTACTACCTAAGTAAAAAGATGCTCGAGTACTAAGTTCGCTACACACCACTTAAAAAGTTGTGCCTTGCACTTGTGTGGGTCACAACCATTTTAAGGCATTACATGCTCGTCCATACAGTCCACACTCAATGGAAGAATATCCATATGGATAGTAAACTTAGCTCAATTTGACCTAAGATTTATGCCCCAAAAAGCCATCAAAGTATCTATGGTCTCGGATTTCTAAGCAGACTTTCCAATTAAGGATTCAACACCAACACAAGGGGATGACTTCCCTGATGAAGAGTTGATGGTCACTGTTGATGATACTTGGACATCATATTTTGACGGCGCATCCAATCAAAAAGGATGTGGCGTAGGAGTCTTATTAGTATCACCTAAGGAAGAACATGTCCCAATCTCAATTAAGCTTGACTTTGACGTTACCAACAACGTTGC